ACCTACATCACTTGGATAGATGTGTACATTAACATTTCTTGCAAATGCAGAAATTTATGGTTCAATCAGCAGCTATCTTTACAAGTGTTGCTCTGCAGGATTCAAACCTTATATGTTGTAACAATAAGTTTGACAAATACAATATTTTCACTTGATATTTCATCAACTAATCATAACCCACCTCAATAATGCCCTCTTTGTACAAATGTTGACTATTCTCCTCAAAGACACATTCCCAGAAGGCCATCATGACATGAATCCACTGTTCAATTTTGTGCATGGTGTAACAATAGTCATGAGTCAAACCATGTATAGAACAATGTGGTAAATTAGACTGTGACACTGAGCATCTTTTCTGGCAGAAAGGTAATTGCCCCTTTGACTTTCTGCCCTCATTCTATTGTTTTCAACCTGTTATCAGATTTTATTTGAAAGTATTTTGCTGACAAATTGCAATTATTTTCAACTGCATTCTGACCTGAAATCCAGATTCTGAAACTCTCAGTTGACTTAGTTCAAACTTACAGAATATTGCACCATGCCTGGGCTGTGCTTGGTCACATGTCTCTGCCCCAATTTATCCATGACCAGTGTACACTGTAGTGTCTTTGTTTCTTTGTGTTTTTTTATATATAAAAGTGCCTGATTTGCTCTGTTCTGGCAGAGCACTTGTGCACTTTTCATCACTTGTATTTGTTTGAAATAAAGTACCATCAAAGAAACTGAGAGTATTCTCTCATAGCTTGAATAAATTCTTCCTCAAAGGAGAAGTATGTAAATACAATACAAACTATGAGAAGAAAATTGAAGTCTTGGAGTAATTTAAGATAACTATGGCCTATATACAATAATACCTTTTACATTTCAGGGGAAGAACTCCATGTCTGTTAATTGTGATATCAGTGCTTTGCATTTAAAGAAAAACATGAATGTTTGTAGATTCTGAAAGGAATTGCATAATTTTATGCATACATATTTCCAGCACATCAGTTGCCATTTTTGATAACACGTGAGTTTGTCTTCAATGAATGGAACTGAAGCAATGTTTGTAATTCCAGATGGCTATACAGACATTGGCCCAGCCTTTAGTCCCTCTACCAATGAATTTGCTATGGAAATCATTGTGTATACATGATGAATTGCAAACGTTTATTTCAGTATGTGTTGTTTCATGGTGTTTTTGTCTTACAAGTGATTTAACAGCACCATCTATATGCACAACATATGGAACCCAGAAAGCAGCTCAGGAAAGTTTGAACATTTCCACTATGGAAATTTTTAGATTGACAGCAGCGTCAGTTATTGTGATTTGTTACATGATGAGAATTGTTTCATTGTAAGTTACATCTTGAACCTCTTGCAAGTCATTGCAGGAACTGGATATTTTTTGTCTCTGCTGATGCTTCCAGAGAATTTAGGTTTGCAGCCTTATTTGGGACTAATATTCTAGTCCTGCAAATGCAGTCAATAATTGAAGAATAATGGACCAAAATAAAGATTTTAATGAGGGATCCTGATGAAATTCATCATTTACAGTTTTTGCTTTTGTTGTGCTGCTGCTGATGGTTGTATTGTTTATCCTGATGCTGGTGGTGGTGGTATTAGTTGTTACAAATGTCAAAAAATATTCATTCAGGAATTTTGCCAAGGTGCAACATTTGATTGTGGTGAGCTTTTCTCACCATGCACCTTTGTGGTGCATCCTCTCCTTGAAAAACTGCTCATGCATTAAACCCAAAAGGGCAGTCATGCATAAGTTTTGGAATACCAAAATATGTGTATCTTGAAACAGTATTTCAAGACTGATGCTTATCCTGCAATGCAAATCTTAACCTCTCAGACATGCAAACTGCATGACTACAGATTCAGTACTTTCTCAACAAAGTTTTGAAAGCAATGAACTGTATAATATTAAACTCTTGCCCCCAAATCTAGGACCCACAATTTGGTATAAAAACCTAGGTCCAATTCTAAATAAGTAAGTTGATCACCCATCCTCTGAGAAGGAGTCAGAGTTCCATTTAGGCTTCCCCATCAAGCATATTGTCTTGAATTGCAAGTGTGCAAAATTGGGTTGAAAATAAAATGTTGTCAAAGAAAAGTCTGCCTGTCATTTTCTTGATAAGTCTTGCGTTGTCAGCAGAGCATTCCTCCACGACTAAGGAGTGAAGAACCACAAGAGTAGGCACTCTTTATGGTCCCCTTATTTCTATCTTTGTTATTCTTCCAAAGTAAAATTAATTAAAATAGGATAACATGAGTCTTGTTTGAATCCAAGACTGGATTCAAAGTTGTCATGTTTCCGGATGGTGTCCCAGAATTCAAAGGAGTGGTTGATGGAGTAGCATTGTGTCATCTTCTTCAAATGTAGTGAAAAACAGCAAGAAGACTCCTTGGAAGAAAGAAGGCAATGAGGTCAAATGTGATTGGTTTCGTTTCGTTTTCATAACCTCGTCCTCCTTGGATTTTCATTTTTTTCCTCTCGTCAACTCTCATTTGTTCTTCATAAAATTTGCTTCACTGTTCACATCTTGCAAAGATTAGCCTTATAAGGTCCCTCATAATATCCTTAGCACATATTTTTCTTTTCATTGATTAATTTTTGTACAAAGAAATTATAGGGACTTGAAAATTGACTTGGATTTTACCATAAATCTTAAATTCTTTTACGTGACATGAGTGCCTACAATTTTTGACAAGATTTTATCATACTATTGTCAACCACACTCAATTCCTATGCTTGACTACCAGTTTTTCAGACGTGTCACTTGTGAATTCCATATTTCCATGGTATATCTATAGATATACCATTGTAGGAATAATATTAATATTAATTATAATATTAATATTAATTATAGGAATAATATGTAGGAATTCCCATGGTATATCTATAGATATACCAGGGAATTCCCTGAAATATGAAATATAGCCCTGAAATATGGTAATGTTGGGTAAATGTTTGCTACTAATTTTGGAATGGATGAGTCTTTTTTATTGGGAGTTGGCAGATCTTCCTTGTTGCATTTGTAAATATTGAAACAATTTCTGTGAAATTCTGACTTTGAGATGAGAAGAGGTGTGGGGTGTTTGTGGCTACTATTCATTTTTGAGAAAAAAACACGTGGTTTTTATTCAATATTTGATGAATTCCAATTTCATCCCTACATACAGTGCAGTATGTGACAACTTTTTGCTGACCAGTTGACTTATGCATCTGGTGTACTGCTGTATCTTCTAAATATCAAACGTTTAATTGAAAAAATCCCTTTGGTGCATTGTTGTTAGTATGATTGCAGATACAATTGAACCTCTCTCCATAAAATGTGTAAAAAAAAAATTTGTCTGTGAGCTTTTGAGTTGAAAAGTTGGCTTCATTGATGGGGTTGCATATTTGGTGAAAATTTGTTTTTGGCCAATTTATCAGTATTTTTGATTTTTCATATAGATGTCCCACCTACAGAAAGATGCCTATAATCCCTTGTGAAGAGTTGAAAGAAATGCTGTAATTGAATTTTTTCTTTTTGCTTTTCTAGAATATGTGTTGTAAAGTGTAGGCCCAATTTAAGAACAAAAGGTTTCATTGAGGTAAAAGTGAACATTCTATTGAACAATCTAATGGAGTCTATCATAGTTCAGTTGAGCCTTAATAAGTTCAATACCTCCCTATAAGTCAAATATTTTCCAAGCCCATGTCTGAATTCCCCTAGAAACAATGCATTAAAAACCTCTCTAAGTTGAAATTATTTTCTCTCAAACCCATCTGTGTGAGTCAAATTCTCCAAGGCCTTTGGCTGTTATTTTCTTGAATCGGGAGAGAGACAATTGAAATTACTGAATTTCATGGGTTTTTGAAGGAAGTGAAAGCCCAAATCATTGAATGTCAAATCATTCAAGAGCCAATAATTTGAGGCTTAGGATATCAAAATTTACAATTTTTTGCAATTCTTCCAATTTTACTGCCACAAAAAGGTTGGTTCCATCATAATTTAAACCTCTAAAACTCAAAATCAAAACTTCCCTATACTCATACGAGTCAAATTTTGTGGCTGATCCCTTGAAATTAAGCCTTGGGAGGTTTGACAAGTATTTCGACTCGAGTACAGTATCTGAAGAATGAGTTGAGACATGCGTATTTCACACTGGCAAATTGTTTTGTTTTGTTTTTATTTCCTTGCAACAAACAGTCGATATCAATGTGTCACACGTGCAGGTATGGAAATAATAATGCAATCAACCCACGGCACACACAAAGAATATTTGCAAATCTCCAATAAACATCTGGTCTCTGCTGTTCACCAAAATTGAGGATCAACTATATACAGTAGCTCCCCACCTGACTGACCTCCCGTGTAAGGGATTTTTGCTGAACAGACCAGCTCTGCAAGCAGTTTTTCCTCCCGCCCAACAGACAAAATCCACNCTCTGCAAGCAGTTTTTCCTCCCGCCCAACAGACAAAATCCACCAAACAGACTTCTTTTGGTTTAAAATTAGTGTTGAAAATTGAAATTTACAATTTTTTATGTAATTAAATTTGTGTAAAAGACTTTTCATCTAACAGACTCATCCCTTGCACAAATCAAGTCCATTAGACAGGGGTTGACTGTACATCATCAATAATTCCCAACACAGGCATGAATATATTAACCCAATATTCCATCGCAGAGGCAAGTGTAAGTTTTTGCGGAGGATTTCTGCGTTTTGCTCATCATATCTCAGCAAGGATCGCTTGCGACCTAATCAAGTCATTGTGTGGAACTATTTTCCATCAGCCGGCAAAGCAGTCAAGAATTGGAGGAAGGACCAACATTTAGAAGCATTTGCTGGAGGATCATTTCCAGCCGGTAAATGGTATAACCTCTAAAACTCAAAGCATGCCCAATAAGTCAGAACCTCCCTATATAAGTTAAATTTTGCTTCATGGTCCCTTGAAATTAAACTTTGGGACGAGGTTCAACTTGTATTTGTACTTGAGCATCTGAAGAATGCGTTGAGACATGCATATTTCCCACTGGCAAAATTGTTTATTGTTCATCTCCATGCAACAATACGGAGTCAGTAGTATAATACGTCACACGCGTGCAGGCATGGTCATAATGTAATAATAGTTAACGCACGGCACTCATGAAAAATATTTGCAAATCTCCAATCAACATCGAGTGTCTGCACACCATAATTGAGGATCAACACTATGCAGCTTCAATAATTCCCAGTGGTACAATATATGTAAAACAAACAAAAGCAGCACACGCGTGAATGTGCTGGTAACCGTTTCCAGAGCATCAGGCAAGTGGAGTAAGATTTCGCAAATGATCGCAGGAATTCCCGCGTTTTGCTCGTCTCAATAACAAGGATCGCTTGCGAGCGACATATAATCGAGTCCTTATGATAATAAAGTAACTATTTTCCGCCAGCCAGTAAAGCAGTCAAGAATTGGAAGATGGACCGGAATTTAGAAGCATTTGCCGGAGGATCATCGCCGTGCGGAACAGGATCATTTCCAGCTCGTGAAGTGGTTTTCGCTTGTGACGTGGTGCTGATGGTGGTGGCATTATTGCTACTCACGGTGGTCGAGAGAACTGATGTTGTTTTGGTGGTTGGTTGTTGAGTAGTGGTCGTGTTTGGTGTCGTAGTCGCAGTTGACGTTGTTGTTGTTGGGAAAGCAGTGCCACACGTGACCCCGGTCAAGTTGTTGCAGAGGTAATCGCGGTGATCGGCAAACGCCATGGAGGAGCCGAGAAGGGACAGCGCCTGCTGATTTTGGCACCTTTTCTTGAATCGATTGAGTGCCACCAGGTACTGATTGTTGTCCGCGCCCACAACCACGATGGAACTGCCTTCCTCGACCCAAATACAAGCCTCATTGACGGTGGTCAAGGCTGAGACGCAAGAAGTGAAGGTGGTGTTCACGATGCCTTTGGGATCAAATTCACCCAAAGAAGCAGGGCATGTTGTTCCAGTGACAGTCGCAGGTAATTTGCTCAACACTTTGGCTGCAACAATAATGAACATTGTGCAATTCTTTAACCCTTGGATGGCAAAGGGTTCTTTCCCATTGCCGGCCAAAATTGGATTATTTTTGTATGCTGGGGCGTTTTAATGTTTCTGAGGGTCAGAAAAGACCTTCCAGGTGGGCTGAGGCGAAGTTGGGATTAATCCAAGAAAAGCCCATTGCTTAGCATAGCATTTTTTCATTTTCCCAAGAAATTTTTCTGTGCAAAAAGAAAAAAACATTGGATTTTTCCCCAAATTTGTCCTCAAATCCCTGTTGTCCTTTTTCTATTTTCTGCCCTGAGGTGCAACAAAATTTTGCAAAAATAGTCCAACTTTACCGCCCGAAGGTTAAATGATGGAATTACTGCATGTAGAGCCATTTTTGCATCCTTTTCTGATGTGCAAACTTATTGATGGGTGTCATTTCCTGCACTCCCCCCCCCCATAATATGCAGTGAGACCCTCAGATGTGGAGTTGATTGGTCCATCAAGAGTGTCCCTAAGTTGAGTCTTCTTTTCCCATCATAGACTTACTAGTGTATATATGCTCAACATGTTTCTCCAGGATGCTTGTGGAACATATGCATATTGAAAAAGTTTTGCAAAATTATTAATGCAGATCTTCAAAAAAGTTTTGCTTTGAGGACTGTAAGGCAAGTATTTAAACATGTCTGCCTTTTTGCCAAAATTAAGTTGAGCAGGTATAAAGCTGAATGAATGTTGTGAAAAATTAGAAGGGTGGGCTTGAAGAAAGGTTTTCTCATGATGCAAAAATTAAATAATTTATTTCCGCGAGTAAAAATGTGTCCTAAGTGTTATTTTGAGATGAGAAACTCTCATACTGCATTTCTTCTGTTAATTTCAACTTTGTCTGTGCAAAAGTTTAGATCAAGATAAATAGACTTCATTCCTCTATACTTATGATAGATTTATTGTGCTGAAAATGTCCCATGGCCACTGACCATCTTGATTGGGGAACACTGATTTAAAACATGTAGATCAGCAGCAGCTGATCAACATGACATAATTTTGAGACAGGGAGTTGTCAATGCCTGAGGGAAATCAGACATAACATGAAAAAAATATTGGGCATAAAATTAGGGAGTTTTCAATTATTCCTGAGGTTCAAACTGTACATAAATTCAGACAAAAAATATTTTGCTGTGGGCAATTACAGCATAATTATGTATACTGCATCCTTTAAAAACCCTCCTGCATGTCTAAGTAATCTGCAATTTTAGGGTTAGACTTCCTGTACAGGTTGTCCCTGAAATTCAACCATTCTGCCATTTGATTGTCAAATTTGCAGGGAGGTTGGCTTGCAATTCAACCTCTGCCCCAGAAATTGACCTGATTTGACCATTTTTTGAATTTTGAATTTGTTTTTTCCTGATATTTCTCAATTTTGCAGTGTCTTCCAATTTGAATTCTTTACAATTCAACCCTACATTTGACCCTAATCTGTCTGGCAACAGATTAGGGTCAAATTGCAAGGTATACCACCTGTATATACTGTATTATCAAACTGTATATACAATGTGTGGACACCCCAACATATGGACAATTCAACTTAGGGACATTTGAAAATCCAAAAAGTCAGGCGCAACATCTGGACATTGGCTCAAACTAGGAACACTTTTCCAAATTTTTCTAAAAAATTGAAACATTTCTTTTTAATTTTGATATCTTTTGAACAAATCAAGCTCTTTATTTTCAAAAAAATTTGGCCAAAAAATTCCATGATAAATTCACTCTAATTCCCAATGAGAAGCAAGCTAATTTTGTCCTTTTTCAGAGTTTATTTTTCCATTATCTGCATGTGCATATTCTAGCAAGACTTAATCCTTTTCTTTGGTCTTTGATCTCATTTTGATACCAAATATCACATTCTATGTGGTTTTGTTTTGCTCTACTGTTCTCTACAACTTGAAGGTGAGGGAAACATTTTTATTAAATTGTTTGGGTACTTATTTCCAATTTTTGACAAAAAGGGGAACCAATCAAATGCATTAGCATTGAAGTCTAAGAGAAAATGAGACTTGACTTGGGGACACCTCTATATGAGGACACTCTTTATTGATGCACTGACCTGGTCTGCATCTTGGGGTCTCACTGCATAAGTGCATATACAAAGAGACCCCCACATGTGGAAACCTCAACCTGCAGACAATTCAACGCAGGGACACTTATTTTCCCATAACAAATTAATTTAAGAGGTCCAACATGAGGACACTGACTCAACATAGGGACATTTTCTGATAGAATTTCAAATAGATTTCAGGCCAAATTACGAGAAACAGATATTTCCAATCCTAAAATTGATGTAAGAAAAGTTCTTGGGCATTTCTCTCACCAACTTACCATCCATTTAGCTAATTAAAAAAAACTTACCTCCAGCAGAGAGGGACTTCCTTCTCTTTTTTTTTACTTGAATGTCATTTCTTCAGGGAATGCCAACATTTCTATGTACTGTATACAGAGGTATTATATAGAGTATTCAAATCCTCAAATGTCCATATTATGTTGAAATATATTGATTCAATGAGTTTAAATTACAGAAAAATTTCTACTTTCATGGAATGATGGTGGGTATTTTTCACATAAAAGCACCAATTAAAATTTATACATTGTCAGTCCGAGTAGGGGAAAGTGAAACTTGACTTGGGGACATTCCAACATCAGGACACTCTTGATGCACCAATCATGGCCACATCTCTGATCTAGGGGTCTCACTATATAAACCATGTATAAGTTACTCTCTAGCATAAATTCACAAATGTGGTACAGCAGTACCTGTTGAGGAAGTGAAGAGCTTAATCATGCCACTGAATCCGGCCAGGTTTGGTCCAACGTCCGTGGCGATGCGAATGAAGCCAGCAGCTGCAGCTGAATAAAACGCCTGAGGCAAGTTGAGGATGGCCAAACTGTTTTTTAAGAAGGAATTGACGTCAGCGTCATCCTCGGCCTGTCTTCCCGGAAACGGAACCAGGGTGGTTACATCCGAAACCGCGATGTAAGAGGATGGATCACGGCTACCACTTGCCACGCCGGGAGTTCGCTGAACGCGATATCCCTTTAGGACTAGATCAGTGTCACCAAGGTACTGTCTCCAATACGTTTCCGTCAACTTTGTGTAGTAAGTCAGAACGCGGCTGGAATTGAACATTCCAATAAGGATAATGAGACATGGCACTTTTTTTTTTTTTTTTTTGCACAGAAACACTAGTTGAACCTCTGCTCTCAGCTGAATGTCTATAGCAACCAGGCGAAATAAAAAAATTTTGACTTTTGGAGGAAACAAACACTCCCAGCAAATAATTTACCCCTAATTTTACCTGTAAATCAGCAGTCACCTGTTTTGGAATATGGGTATACTGGGTTGAAAAATTATGGGTGATCACCCATGAAACTACCTTTTTTGGAATATGGGTGTTTTTATGGGTGAATGTGCTGAGCACCCATATGCTCCTTTTGCCTGCTTTGTTAAATGTAAAGGAGATTCAGCCATTATACACAGGATAAATGGCACACGCCATTTTTACAGCATTTATCTAGCTGCCCATATGCTTTACAAATGGCGCATGCCATTTCTAGTACTACTAAATACGATAGGAATAATACATAAATGGCATGTGCCATTTATTTAGTATTCCGTCCTGTATGTGTGGAGCAAGCCACTATTTACAGAGTGACAAATCAAAAATATAGTACCCATTTTAAAAATAAAAAGCATCTTTTCTTCAATTGCATACTTGCCTATATGGGTACACACATGCACCAGTATAGGACAGCACACACACAAACTCACAAGGGCAAGAGACAAGCACAGACAAACATGAACAGACACAGGTATTCCCCTGTTTAAAAAAAATCACCCACATCCAAACATCCATGAAAAATGGGTGATTCATGGGTGACTTGCACCTATGTCTCTACACCTGGCTGGAAAACAGCTGCTTATTTGCTGGGCTTGTTGTTGAAGTGAAAGAAGTGTGGGTAATTGCTATTTAAAAAAATCAATTATGCTGCAAAGTAAATTCCTGCAAACTGGCAAAAAACTCTGCAGACCAGCATCAGTCTGCAGACCACACCCAGCAAATAATTTGTTACAGGTATTGCTGCGCATAACAGTTACGCATTCAAAATGCCTTTGTTATGCATAACTGTTATGCCCAGCTTCTTCTGAAACACCTTTCTTTTTTTTCTGTGTTGCAGTACTGGAAGTTTTTTTCTGAAATGCATGCAGAATGCGTTTTTAATGCATTCTGTAGTAACGCCTATACTTTAAACATTTTTGATGAGCTTTTCTTGAGTGTAGCAGGCAGGCATTTCAAAATGCCTGCCTGCTACACACAAGAATTTCAATTTTTTCAGATTTTCCTGGGTGTAGCATGGAGTGTTTTAAAATGCTCTGTGTTACAACCAGGGAAAATCTGAAATAAACAGTTTTTAGCATTGTAACAGAAAGGTGTTTTAAAACGCCTGCCTGGTACAACTGAAGGAAATCTGTAGAAATCAGTTTTTAGCATTGTAACAGACAGGCGTTTTAAAATGCCTGTCTGATACAATGCCAAAAACTGTTCATTTCAGCTTTCCCTTTGTTGTAGCATGAGCATTTTGTAACACCAGCCTGTTACATTCTTTAAAAATTATTCTTTATTTTAACAGTATTTTTAACTTCAAAATTTATATTTTGTGGTTTTGTATAATTGCGACAAACTGATGCGACAAACATAAAAATCTGCAACATTGTGTTTGTCACATCAGTTTGTCAAACCAGTTTGTGGCAGCTTGGATCCAGGGGTCCAGATCTGCGCTGCGGTATTATAAAATACCAAAGATCTGTGATTGGCCATGGTACTACTACTGCAGCCAATCATTGAAACTGTGGTATTTTACTTCACTGCAGTGCGGATCCAGACTGCTGGATACGCACTGCAATGCTGTGATTGGCCGCGGTAATAATATCATGGCCAATCACATGCCAGTATATTGACGCCACCACAGGGTTCTCTACCCTACAGTTTTTTCTCCAGTATAATACCAGCAGTATTATACTGGAGAAAAAAATTTTCGTCTTGGGTTCTTTTTCTGAATATTTTTCAGCAAGTACAACAATGACTTCAGTGTCTCGGGTGACGCAAGTGACTACAATTACTACGGAGGCGGTCATCAGGCATTCTTCTGGGATCAAGGAGAAGGATATTGTAGCTGCTGTGCCTTCCTTGATGCCCGAGGTGACCATTAGGGTCAAGGATGGGCAGTTGGAGGCGAACATTAATGGCGAGACGGCCATGATGTTCTTGATAATTGCCTGTGGAGGATTCGGGGTTGTCTCGATCCTGATCTTTCTCGTCTGGATTGCTTGTCAGATTTATTTGAAGGTGAGTTGTTCTGAAACATCTCTTGGGAATAAAAGGAAAAATAAACTATTTTTGCAAGACCCACAAGAAAAGGAAAATTAAATTAAAAGGTGTTGTCTTGCTTTTCCTATTTTGTTCTAGAAACAAGAGGAAATTGGAAAGGTTGCTGAGGCAGAGTTGCCTCCAATTAATTTTGATGAAGTTGATGAGGACGTAGATGCGTTCGTTCGCAACTTTGAGAGTATGAGCAGTACCTCATTTGGAGAGGGTAACTATTTTTTGGAAGACAATCTGTGAGGAATTGAGAACTGATGCGATCCTTTGGGTTTCTGATCTATTTTCAGTGGATTTTCATTCAACGAGCTGTGAGATGGCTGGGCCTCCAAACAGCTGTGAATCCTTCAACAGTCACGCCTTCTGAGGAAGAAAGGGAAGAAGTTGCAGCAGGGGATCTTTTGGACATGTCAACTGGAGTGCTGGAGACGGAAGATCCTCGGTGCTCAGCTTTCTGGGCATAAAGTGACTGTGCTCAATTTCGTTCGGTGGTTACTTATTTGATACGATTCGGGTCTCGGTTTTTTAAAATCAGCTTTGTAAATATGCGGAAATCGGAGATAATCAAAAATGCGTGGTGAATCGGTTGTGTTTTTTGCATTGATGCGGCGCCCTTGATTTTTCTCGTTACCGGTTGTTTGAATCTTTTTGAGAAGCGCCTTGTTCGTTGATACTTTGTTGGTACGAAATTGAAATAAACGGGTATGAAATCAAAATTCCATTTGTTTGCTTTACTTTTTTGTTTTGCTTCTTGAATTGCATTGCAACTTTTTTCCAAGAGCAAAGTAAACAATACAGGGAAATGGGAATTGTATCGCAAAATAACCATCGAAATTTCTTTTTGTTTTGCACAGGGATAAAGATGGAGATAAAAAATCTTTTCGTGACACATGATAAAAATAGGGGTAAGAGAAAAGTTCTAGTGACTAAGAAATTAAACTATGGAGAGAACGCCTGTTGTAGGATTCATCACCATTTCCAATTTTGGATAGATGGCGTTCCTTCGACTGGGTAAAATGGTAGTCACTTGAGGCTCAGGGGTGTCTCAATTTTGTTCGGTGGTTACTTATTTGATACGATTTGGGTCTCGGTTTTGAATCAGCTTTGTAAATATGCGGAAATCGGAGATAATCAAAAATGCGTGGTGAATCGGTTGTGTTTTTTGCATTGATGCGGCGCCCTTGATTTTTCTCGTTACCGGTTGTTTGAATCTTTTGAAAAGCGCCTTGTTCGTTGATACTTTGTTGGTACGAAATTGAAAAATAAACGGGTATGAAATCAAAATTTCAGTTGTATGTTTTACTTTTTTGTTTTGCTTCTTGAATTGCATTGCAACTTTTTTCAAGAACAAAGTAAACAATACAGGGAAATGGGAATTGTATCACAAAATAACCATCGAAATTTCTTTTGTTTTGCACAGGGATAAAGATGGAGATAAATCGTGACACATGATCAAAAATAGGGGTAAGAGAAAAAGGTTCTAGTGACTAGGAAATTAAACTATGGAGAGAACGCCTGTTGTAGGATTCATCACCATTTCCAATTTTGGATAGATGGTTTGTTTGAATCTTTTGAAAAGCGCCTTGTTCGTTGATACTTTGTTGGTACGAAATTGAAATAAACGGGTATGAAATCAAAATTCCAGTTGTATGCTTTACTTTTTTGTTTTGCTTCTTGAATTGCATTGTATCTTTTCAGGAACAAAATAAACAATACAGGGAATGGGAATTGTATCACAAAATAACCATCAAAATTTCTTTTGTTTTTTGCACAGGGATAAAGATGGAGATAAAAATCTTTTTGTGGCACATGACAAAAATAGGGGTAAGAGAAAGGGTTCTAGTGACTAAGAAATTAAACTATGGAGAGAACGCCTGTTGTAGGATTCATCACCATCTCCAATTTTGGATAGATGGCGTTCCTTCGACTGGGTAAAATGGTAGTCACTTGAGGCTCAGGGGTGTTTTCTCTTCTCCTTTGTAGTACAAAGCGAATTTTCGCATAACAAAAGTAGGAAATACAGACAAGAATCATACAAGATAAAATCGAGGAGGTAATCATGTAAATGTATCCCTGAATTTGAAAATGAATTTGAAGTGAGGTCAGATCATCTGATAAGCGTTTTTGTTGCGTCAGATCA